CCCTCCCTCCCTCTCTGAAAAGCAATGGAAAAAAATATCCTCAGGTGAGGATAACAACAACAAATTAAGAAAGCCTATTCATTAAATTTGTAAGTCATACAAAATAAGCTAAGATACATAATATTTTTACCTTTATTTCATGATGAATATAATAGCCTTTTCCAATATTTCTGTTGTCTACCTACCTACCTACCTAGAATGTAGGCTGGCTAACATAAGAGTTGAAAAGATTCAAGAGGGTGACCAAAAAAAAAGAGAGAGAGAAAGAAACAAAAAAAAGGGAGGAAGGAAGTTGTCATTGTTCTAGGCACTGTTGAGTTAGACAAGATCCCTGCCATCATGTACTAGTCTTTGATTCAAATGAAAGGAAGGAAAGAGGGAAGGAAGGGAGGGAAGGAGGAAGGAAGGAGAAAATACCTAGAACAGGGAACAGATATACTATAGCCTATGTGTCACATCCAGCCTGTTGGCTATTTTTGTAAATAAAGTTTTATTTGAACATATCTATGTGCATTCAATTATGTATTGTCTATGGCTGCTTCTGCACTACAATGGCCTAGCTGAGTAGTCACAACCAAAACCAAAGAGCTCACAAAGCTTAAAATGTTTAGTATCTGGCTTTTTCCAGAAAAAGTTTGCTGACCACTGATCTAGAATATTGAATATAAGCATCAACTTGGACAGAATTATTAGAACACAAAGGTACAAAATGAACATAGAGGGTGGAGATGGTGTAACAGCAGAGGCTGGACTAGATGGCTTCACAGCTCTGACATTCTATGAAATAAAAAATGCTTACTGAGCCCTGCTGGGATCCTGAGAGCAGGTGAGAAGGCACTCAAATAATCCCTTCCCTTCTTCCTGGCCCTGCCCTCTCAGCAAATGCTCATTGATTTTTGGTAAGAGCTCCTGAATAGAAGACAGAGCTGAGGCAGGCAGCAAAGCTGTATCTGAGTGAGGAGAGGACAGTCCACAAGCTGAGTCCCCTCATACCAAATTGCAACTATAGGGCAAGTTTGGTACTCATGAAATTCTCTGTTTGAAACACCAAGTAAATGTAATTCCTCCAGTTCAGTGGGGAAACCAAGGAAGCACAGGACATGGCCTGCACTTGGAATTGTCAGCTGAGGAGAAAAGAAAAGACATGGGTAGATGAGAGTTCAAATAACCATACAAAAGGCTAAGATTTAAAGAACATTCAAAAGAGCAGCTGAGAGCAGGTTGCAATTATTGTCAAAGACAGGAAAGGCTTTGTGGAGGAACTAGCTGCAGCAATGGAGCTTGACAAAAGTGGCGTTAGAGAGGTGAAGAGGTGGGGAAGGGCAAGTTCACACTTCAACTGGACAGCAATGTTCTGATGCTCTTGACATTCCCCTCATGCTGCCAATTTGAGAAACCCTGCTGGGGCAGCAATGCCACCTCTGCTTTCTGGGCTACCACACCCACATCAGTTTGGCAGCCTCCCTGACATCTGCTCCCCTTGGCTGAACCTCCTTCCACGTCAATGTTCTGACCCTCAGGCAGTCAGCATGGCTGTCTTTCCCCCATCATCACTGCTACCCTAAAGCAGCCAATGCTCAGTTACTCTGTTGTTAGAAACTGAGGGGAATCTCAGCCTCTGCAAGTAGTCCAGTATAATGGGCAGGTAGAGGGGCTAGTCTAGATAAACAAAAGCTCAAATGTAAAATATTCATTTCTGTCTGCAGCCAAAGCAACCTGCCATTTTCTCGACCCCACTTCTGAAGAACTACTCACCAGAGGCAACACAGACTGACTTGCCCAGGTACCCTCCAACAGACACCTGACCAAGCCCTGGTACAGGTGCACACTGCTGCTTTCTTCTGAAGAAATCCAAACAACCAACTACACAACACCTCAGATAGACACTGATGACCACCCCATTTTATAAACATAGACATCAAGGCACAGAGGTCCACTATTTGTGCTGGGTCACACAGTAAGTTGAGGGGCCAGTCTCAGAGACAGGATTGCATTTTACATACAGGAGGAGGAAAAAAGGAGTGTTCAGGGTAGTGCTGAGGGATTTCTGAGGTTGAGGAAACCAGTGAGGCTGCTTTCTAGTTCTGGGGCAGGGATGGGACAGGGAAAGTCTACAGGGAGTAGAAGAGGAACAAATTCACATTCCATGCAGTTGCCTTTACTATTTTATGGAAACCTGTTCCACTATCCTCACATCTGAGGCTCCACACACTAAGGCGCTTTTGGGAGAACACCAGTGGAAGGTTCCCCTCACCCTCACCCCATTCATGAAGTCGGGTCTTTAATTTATTCTCCAAGACTTCTGAAGTGGCATAAATTATAGAGCCCAAAGGGGCTGTGAAGGGCATCTGTTCAAAGCCCTTTGGGTTATCCATGAGTTCCCAGAGGATAAGGGACTTGCAGGCCCTCACTCTAGTTGCTGGTAGAGCTAGGACAGAGCAAGGCTACCTGGAAGCCACAGGGGGGAGTGCACTCAAAACAGCAGGGTAGTCCTTACCTTCCAAAGAATGGATTCCCTGCTCCTTGGCAGTCTTGTAAACACTGCTGAAATTGTCCCCAAGGTTTGGGTCAGCACCAGCAGCAAGCAGGACCTGCACCACACTGGAAGAAATCAGAAAGACAGAGTGTCAAAAGCGGGAAAGGCCCAGGAAGTAGAGACCCAGATTCCAAAGCATGTTTGAGGATTGGATTTGCCTCTACTCATGAGTTGGTACACTGGAAAGAACATTAACTCTGTGAGTGTCAAAGGCAGGAATAGAAAAGTTGGCTCTGAAACTTGCTGGCTGAGAGGCTCTGCAAAAGTTATTTAACACCTTTCTAAGGCTCAGTTTTCACAACTATAAAAGACAAAGTGTTTATTCAACTATTACTTATCCAATGCTATGATCTAGTCACTGTTCCAGGTACTAGGGTCTGTACCCAGAGCTTACAGTCTCTGGAAAGGACAACAATTTAGCATAAAATTATAGCAAAGTATGATAAAAGCTATGATGGAAGAAGTACCATTTGCAGAGAAAAACCGAGAGGGCATCAAGAGGGGCCTCCAGTGCTATTTAAAGTATTGAAGAAGTGAAAGCTAAATAGCCAGATCTGGAAAGGTGAAGCGGGAGGATGCAACGCATTTACAAGTCCTGGATGCAAAAGTGCTTCATCTGAAGAAAGCAGAATTGGAGTAGAGAGTATAAGAGAAAGAAGGGTGGGAGATGAGGTAAGCCACTGAAGAACTTAAAGGGGAAGTGACATGACAATATATGCTTTTCCTCCCCACTTCAAAAGATACACATGCTTTAAAAAATGGAAACTATATTGAAATACTAAATTAAAAATGAAAGTCTCCCCTCATTTCCATCTCCCTAATCTAAGTTCCAGTGGTAACCACTATTTATAATTTGGTGTGTTTCCTTCCAAACCTTTGCTTTTGGAAGAATCACTCCAGTGGCTATGTGAGAATGGACTGGAGGGAGTAGGACCAGAGGCAGGGAGTCTCCACAGGATTGTTGCAAGGTTGAATCAGGTAAATTTATAAAGCACCTACCATAGTGCTTGACCCAGGAAGTGCTCTGTATATGTTAACTTCCCTTCTATTATGTAATGTTCCTGCTAATGTTTTCTTTTTCTGTAATAAAAAAGGAAATCACTATAGGAAATTCAGAAAATGTACAAAACCAAAAAGAAGAAACTGTTTTAGAATATACAACATTCTTCCAGCTTTTCCAACATATGCATACCTTTTTTTTTTTTTACAAAAATGAGATCATACATAAACTCTATCTAAACGTACATACACACACACTTTCCATATTTTAATATTTGTCTACCACATCATTATTATTTTTTGTTAATCCTCACCTGAGGATTTTTTTTGCATTGCTTTTCAGAGAGTAGGAGGGAGGGAGGGGAGGTTGAGAGAGAGAGGGGAAACATCAACGTGAGAGAGACACATCGACTGGTTTCCTCCTGCACATACTCCGACCAGGGGCGGGGACTGACCTGTAACCAAGGTATGTGCCCTTGACCAGGAATCAAACCCGCAACCCTGCAGTGCGCAGACCAATGCTCTAACCACAGAGCCACACCAGCCAGGGCTACCACATTATTTTTAAAGACTACACAGTATTCCACTATAAGACTATTCTATACCTTACTTAGCCAATCCCATATTGTAAAACAATTAGATCATTTAAAAATATTTCAATAACACAATATCTCTGATTATTTCCTTTGGATAAATTTTTAGGAGATGAAGTTCTAGCTCAAAAGTATATGCATTTTTAAGAGTTTTGATAAATGTTACTAAATTACCTTTCAGAGAGATTGTACCAATTTTTATTCTCACTAGCAAAGGATGAAGGAGAGTAACTGCTTTGCTTTCCTTTCATCAATATAGGGTGTTGTTTTCTTTTTCATAATGTGTTAAGCTAACACACAGAAAATGGAATCACACTGCTATTTCAACTTGCATTTCTTTGATTTCTATTGAGGTTGGACTTTTTAAAAAATATATTTAATAGTCAATTGTTTCTTTTTTCACAAATCCCTTATTCATGTCCTTCGTCCATTTTTTCTGAGTATGTTAATCTTTTGCTTAATGACCTTCAGACTGTTAATGCTTTTGAAGGCATTAATGGCAATACTTTTTAAAAACTACTCTAACTATAGTAACTATTAAAAAGCCCAAGGATAGTTTTAGTTCTCCTCCTCTTTGTTAGTTTTTCAATATCTGTAACCACCAGTGTTGATGGTTTTCGCTGTAGTACTTGGTTTGAATTTCATTTCCTTCAACAGGCACAGGACCTGGCTCAATTATTTGCTGAATGGATGAATGAATTTCAATAATTCCCATGCACACAAACACACAGTCCTCACAGGTAAGTCAAAGAACCAGAATCCATCTCCCACATAGCTGAAGTTCTTCCACATCTGATCTAACATGGTCAGGTGAGTCTCCTGTGTCTACTCACCTTACCTAAAAGGATCTCCTGGTGGGCAGCTGTCACAGGTAATTTACCCAGGATATGGATTAAGATCCCAAAGAGAAATGAAAAGGGTCTTTAAGCAGCTAAAATCCATGGCTAAAACTCATATATTTAATTCATAGCAGAGTCTGCCGGGTTCTCACTTGAGACTATTTACCTTTAGTTTACACACAATTTGGATAGTATTGGCATTAGTCTTCCTGTTTTTCAGAAGATCAAAAGCCAAGAAGGTACAAAAGAGTTGTTATAGATAGGTAAACTAACTGAAGGCAGCGAGGAATAATATCTGGTAAAGAGGTAGTGTGGTACAGAGTTTAAGAAGATTGGCTTTAAAATCTGGGACAATCTAACCATCAACATGAATAATGACAGCAATGGATTATAACCCATTGAGTAAAATACGATTCCATGAGTCTGTATTGAAAATAAATTAATAAGTCAAATAGGGAGAAGGGGGAAATCCTTCCTTACTGTAGAAAGATAAGTAATAAATGTAGAAGGGAGGATGAAATTAGAAAATCACCATTTTGCAATATTATACTTATCAGGAATAACAAGAGTATCTAGTTCACATGACTGTGTTAATGTACGTAAAGTGCTTAGAACAGTGACTGACATATATAATAAGTGCTCAACAAATGTTAGTTATTTCTATGTACCTGATCCTGTGGTTAAGCTGTGGGGAAATCAAGAGAAGTATGAACTAAGACACTTAAATTGGGAAGACAGTATGCCATTTTATAAGAAGCAGAAACCTGGGTTCAAATAAAAGCTCTACCATTTACTGACTATGGTTCTGGGCAACTTAGTACATCTCTGAAGACTCCATTTCCTTTCCAGAATAATGGAAATAATGATGCCTCCCTTGTAGGTTATGAGATAAGTATGTAAAACTCCACAGTGCCTAGCTAAGAGGAGGAGTTCCACAAATATGAGCTCACATCCCTTTGTCCACATGATCCTAGTGATAACAACATGAGTCTGAACCAAAGTATACACCAGATTTGTACTTGGACACCCCCAGGATTCATGCTGGTATAGCCCTATATTAAGAAGGCAGCTCTTCTATATTCTGCACAAGTTAGCTTGTTTTAAAATCTAAGACAGAAGGGTTTGTCGATTTAAACTCAAAGGGACATAATTTGGTTAATCCTTCGCTGTTGTATCCAATCACTGTTCAATCACACCCCCTTCCATGGCAGGCTGTCCCTCCAGGCAGCTAGTGTCACTAACTGTGCTACCTGGGCCTCTCCAGGTTCATGAGTATTGATTCTATCTGTCCAATTTGCAGGCTGCAAGACGTGTCCAAGCAACCAAGTATGCTGCCCTTGGCCCCACAGGGCAGACAGTGGTCTGGCAGGGTGGGGAGAGGAGACTGACTAGGCCCAGCCCTGGGGCTGCTAACACAATCAAAGGGAATGGGCAATTCACTTCACAAACTTGAAGGCCAAAAAGGGTAAGCATCTAAGCTAGTGACTCATTCTGCAACCTCAAAGAAGATTCCTTTCACTTTTAATAAAACTCAAAAGGCAGCAGCCCCACTGTGAGATACAGCTAGGACTAATGGAACTGTGGCTACTCAGTAGCCAAGATGCCTAGTAGGCTTTTCATTTAACAGCTATCATGTACATCCAACCCAAAGGTCCATAGGAATCAGGCCCTTCTTAGAGAAACCAGCCCAGATCAGGCTGGAGGGCTACATGACTTTGGTGAGCTTTGGTGACCAAAAGAACTTCATGGAACTGTGGGCTGCAGCAAGGTGGACACAGAGTAGGGGACTGGCAGGGTGAGAGAAAGCTAAGGCAAGGCTAGGAGTGCCAAGAACTTCATAGTCAAAATAGAACCGCGGGACAGAGACCAGGCAGCAAAGATGTAAGGCAGAGAGTCAGAAGCCAAGTCAGATGGCAAGGACTGGAGGCTGAGGCAGAAGAATAGACCACAAACAAAGTAAGCACCCAGAAACCAAGGAATACACTGGCCCCAGAGGGCTGGCAAATGAAGAAGTAACCAGGAGCAGCAGTGAGGAGACTGGAAATAAAGTGATTTCTGCCTCTTTTATATGTTTTGCTGAAGTAGAAACAAATCCCCAAATTTAAAACAAATCCCCAAATTTAAAACTTCCATGGGGAGATGGGGAGCTGGCCCACCTGGGTGACAAGAGGAGTACAGGGTCAGCCATAAAATCAGAATCTGACAGCACAAAGGGAGGCAGGCACTGCTATTTAAGATTATTTACCAGAGGACAACTGCAGCCTCCCCTCTGTTCTTCTGGTGCTGGCATACTGGCTGACATTTTGTAGTTTAGGCATTACTGCCTTAAATTTAAGTAGCTGGTACCAAATGGGCTGTGGTGTATGGGCTAGGCCTTCATGGTCTTAATAGTTGGATTAAAGGGGACAGAGGAACCATGAAAAATCTCCACTCAAAGGAACTACACTCACTACTCCACAGGTATTCGCTGAGCAAAGGCTTAAGAATACCAGCAATTCTCCCATCCAGCACAGGATGTGGCCTCTGGTGGTCTGTGGGAAGATATGCCTACCAATGCCAATATCAATCTTAAAGGCTAGAGATAATCTCCAGATGCACTAGTTCCCTTTCTAACTGGGGGAGTCAGAAAATGTC